ATGCAATATCCTATTCTGAAATAAATGTGTACGCCCACTGTGTAAGGGAGGGCAAGATTGACATGCTTTTCCCTTTTTCTTTTTTTTTTTTTAAAGATTTCATTTATTTATTTGAGAGAGAGAGAGACAGTGAGAGAGAGAGAATGAGAGCAGGGAGGGTCAGAGGGAGAAGTAGGCTCCCCACTGAGCAGGGAACCCGATGCTGAACTAGATCCCGGGACTCCAGGATCATGACCTGAGCCAAAGGCAGCCACTTAACTGACTGAGTCACCCAGGTGCCCTCCCTTTTTCATATGTATGAAAAAGTTTTAAAATTGGAAGTTCACAAGTAGTGGAGATTCTATAACCCGTGAGAATAATATTCTGTACCCCCCGTTTTTCCCTCTTAGCTGAGGTATTAAAAAAAAATTGTGTTGATCTTGGTGATGGCATGCTTGCTACAGTCTGAAAGTTAATAGGCACTTTATTTTTTCATTGAGTGATGGATAGATTGAACCAATGAATGAAATAATGATTCATTCACACTAAAATATTAGACAGGACTCTGCGCTGAGAAATCTGTATTTTAAAGGAGATTAGTATATATCACAAAGAGGAGAAAGGGCAGTGGTAGATATTTTGCAACACTTCCGTGGAAGGACTACTTGTAAATCCTCTAATTCCATCAGGCTGGCAAATACCTAACCTTCCTATACTCTGTTGTTCTTTTATATTTTGGAGCTCTAGAATACTTGTCAGGTTTCTGGCGTGTCTTCAAAGCATTCATCAGCTGTTTGTATTCCCATGACCTGTGGGGGGTGGAGTGTGGGGAGAACCAATGGCCCCTTCCTAATCTTGACAGGAAAATCACCAGTTGCTTGCAGAGAAACCTCCAGATTCATGGACCTTTGATGCTAGGAATCAAAATCTGATACAACCACACAGAACTTTATTATTTGGCTGTGTTCATGAAAATCATTTTCCTATTTGATCAAACTCAATAGCATGATTTTTAAGAATCCATGAAACTCTTGCCCAGGAAGATAAAATTGCAAGTAACTGTTGTTTGTTTCAGGAACATTCCCCAAATCCAAATTAGTCTGAACACTAGACCACTCAATTTACCCTCATCACAATATATATGTGTGTGTGTGTGTGTGTGTGTGTATCCCTTTTCAGGATGTTAGATAACATCAAATGACTTTATTCTTCAAGATTCACTTTGAAACCCTTGCCTCTCTGTGTTCACCAATCCTAAACTTTTATGTCAAAAACTTGACCTATCCTAATCAAGTTCCCCTCTGTCTACCTGTATAAAAAACCTGCCTAAACCAGTCCCCTAAAGCTTCATTACATGGCCTATCTTTGCTCTCCTCCCTCTGAAATGCTACTAAAAATCGTTCAGAGAAGCAATCTCCTGCACTGCAGTAAGCAATACACTCAATGTTGCTCTTTCAACAGGTTGTTTCGGGGACATCTTCAGGAAGTCAGTATTTGACAATCTAGAAGTAAGAAATTCTGAAACAATTCAGACAAAAAGTCTGATTGACTTATTGACATTATTTGAACAAATGGCTTACTTTCTGAAAAGAACTATTAGGGTTTTTTTAAAAATTTTTTTTTTTTTAAGATTTTATTTATTCACTTGAGACACAGAGATACAGAGAGAGAGAGAGAGAAAGCATGAGCAGGGAGAGAGGCAGAGGGAGAGGGAGAAGCAGGCTCCCTGCTGAGCCAGGAGCCCAATGCGGGGCTCGATCCCAGGACCCTGGGATCATGACCTGAGCCGAAGGCAGATGCCCAACCATCTGAGCCACCCAGGCGCCCCTTTTAGGTTGTTTAATTATGTGACACTGGTGTGCAGGAGCTGGCTTGTATTGGCTCTCGCCGACTTGCAGAGTTGATTTTCAAATAACAAAGTATTTGCAAGCTGTTCATTAAAATATTGCTAGCTTTAAATTAGTCATGGTAGAAGTATTTACAGCAAATACTACAAATCAGAGAGGGGTAGACCAGCACACCACTGGTTTATTGGTGGATTATTTTCATGCAGGATCCTTTGCTTATTTTGGGAGATAGGATGATAAACGCCCCCTCTTATGAGATAATAAAAAATTTAAAGCCTCATTATTATCAGAAATGTATTCATATTTTTCAAAAAAATTATTATGGAGAATGATACAAGTACCAATAGAAGAATTTATTAAGTCTCACAGCTCTGATATTTTCCTAATTCCATCACTTTTACTCTACTATTGATACAATTTTAAATAGGGGAACTGAATGCATAAAAAGTTTTACATGTAGGATTTTTAAGTTATTTAATATAGCAGAAAATTGGCTTTGAAGGAGCAAATCTATAAGGCAACACCCACGTGAGAAAAGCACAATCAGTCCCAATGTAGGGGCTGACTTCTTCGCTGTCTGAGATCTATGGGTCTTCAGCACAGCTTCCAGAGTCGCCCCCTGTGCTCCTAACTTCTGAGATGCACTTCTGGTCTTGGTTCTTCAGTGAGGGCAAGTGGATCTGCCAGGTGAAATAGGCTGGAACTTTAAAAGAAATAACTTTTACTAATAACATGAATTAGAAAAGCAAAAATAAAGTGAAAAAAATAGAAAATGATGGTGACACATTGTACATAACGCTTAGCAGAAAAACAAAATCATCCTTTGTTTTCCTCCTCACCTCCCTATATGTTTGTTCTCTGATTTGAGGAAAGGCTGCAGTGAGGATTGGCTAGAGTCTCCCCCCTTGGTAGAATGCTGGATGGCAAATAAATGGATAGGTAAGACTTGCACATATTTTATTATTTTATTATCGCACATATTTTATATATTTCCTGGACTGTATTTATCCCTTCTCTGGGAACACACTGACTCAAGGAATATGTGACGATACAGCCAGGAGAGCAATGTAATGCTGTCTGTCTGTTTGTCTTTCTTATTTTCTTTTTGTTGGAAGGTGTGAGTTATTAGAATGAGATCAACCCTGGGGGAATTTGATTGATAAAGCACTTAAAATTCAAACATGGTTATTGTGCCTGTAACTCTCCTTGAGCTTGGCAGCGGAATAAAGCAACTTCGCCTTCACAGTGTGAGTGAACAAAAACTGAACAAACCTCTGAGATCCCCGGGTAGGTGCTTATTTGTAATGCTTTTCTCCTTTACACGGACTTTTGGTTTTCTAACTGAGAGACAAACAGAGAGATAAGAAAGTGGAATATTTGGGTACTTATTTGTATAAATTTATAAAATCACAGAACACGAAGGGACCTTTGGTTAAACAACACTAGCCCCCCAAACTTATGGAAAAGGAGCAGAAGGTCGAAGTCACATCCTTAATGTCACACAGTTAGTGTCAGAATTAGAACCAGAGAGAGCCAGTGAGTTTTGTATTACTAAAAGATATGGACTCCAAAGTTACTCTGGTTTTTCGCAGTAATGAGTGATGGGATGTTGGGTTTATAAATATATATATATTTTAAAACTTTCTGATTTTCCTCTTCCTAACTCTCTTTATTAGGCACTGGGAAGACAAGACAAACAAAAGCAGTTCCTGACGCCAAAAAGTAAGTCTAGGAGGGAGTGGCAAGTGACAGTTGAAAATCGTGTGATATTGCCTCATTGGAGTCATGCCCAGGATATCTAAGCAGACCAGGCTGCAGTGGTGACGGTGCCTGTGGGTGACAGAGGCAAAAATGATGCCAGTGGTCACCGCGCTGGGCGGTGGTGTGAAGGATGCAGCGGAGAATCACAAAAAGCTTCTTGAAGAGGATAATTGGTGCGTTGAGCTCTGAAGGATAAAGAGGAATTAGCCAAATGATGGAGGAGCATGTTTCCTTATTCTTGCCCCTGAGTGCCTCAAACATAGATGCAATGCATTTTAGTTCCAGATTCTAACTTAGCTGACATGAGAACAATTCTGAGAGATTCTTCCAAATTCTCATCTTAAAGCTCAGCCTGGCCTTCCTGGTGTGTGGTGTGCATCTCACGCATGCATCATTACAACTCGCTGCACATTTGTAACCTATTCCATCGGAGAATGTATTGCCAGCCACGATTTTTGGCCCTGTGTCAGTGTTTGATTCAAGGCAATACCTTCTCCATTGCCTTTGCTCTAGCAGGAAGCATGCCATACATCATCAGACCGCCTGGTAACATTGACACTTTTATGTATCCCTGAGATATAATTTCCGTAGCTGAAAGGCCAAAAAGTTTGTAGAGCAGGATTTTGGAGAAATAAGCAAAATGAAGACAACCTGTTAAATTCTTGAGTGTTGATGCACTTTACAAAAAAATAGCATTCTGGGGACTAAGGTCACTGAGGTGAGAAAAATGATGTATGAGGCTGTCACATAAATCTCATCTGTGTCCTATAATTTTTAACCTGCTCCAGGTCAGTAGGGATTTAAAATATCTGGCCAACAGGAATGGGGCCGTCAAGATAGTCCTCAAGGAATCCTCAGAAGAAATGTAAATTATTTTATATCTTTCTTGCTATAGGGACCAAGACCAAGAACCCATGAGGTCACTCTTGATACCCTAGCACATATTGGACTTTGCTTAACACGCCCACACATCCACTTCTGATCTCTTGGCAGTTGTTTTCATTTTAGTTCTCACCAACATATTCTCTGTTTCACTAACAAATATTATTGTCTTCAATAACCTTCTGAGGCATCAAAAACTACATATATATATATCTATAGATATGTATATCTATAGATATATAGATACATGTATATCTATAGATATATAGATAGATATCTTCCATAAAACTGATTGGTGGTAGAAAACACTACCTATTTTTAGTACTGACTTGAACTGAACTGATGAATTGTCAAGTGAGTAGTGGTGGAGTCCTTTCTAATATTGGTAGCTATTATTTAGTAAGTGCCTGCTCTGTGTCAGGTATTATACTAGTTGATTGTCATAAATGAAAGGAGAGTCCCTTTCCTTCCACCGCCCCCTTCCAACCTAAGCTAGAGCCAGTGGGCCTCTGGCCTAACAGAGCTTTCACCATGGCCCTCAGCGATGCTGGCGTGCAAAAGCAGATTAAGCATATGATGGCTTTTATTGAACAAGAAGCCAATGAGAAAGCAGAGGAAATAGATGCGAAGGGAGAGGAAGGGTTCAACATCGAGAAAGGTTGTCTTGTGCAAACCCACAGACTGAAGATTATGGAATACTATGAGAAGAAAGAAAAGGAGATTGAGCAGCAGAAGAAAATTCAGATGTCTAATCTGATGAATCAAGCAAGGCTCAAAGTCCTCAGAGCAAGAGATGACTTTATTACAGAGCTACTAAATGAAGCAAAACAGAGACTAGGCAAAGTGGTAAAAGATACAACCAGGTACCAGGTGCTGCTGGATGGACTGGTCCTTCAGGGTTTGTACCAATTGTTAGAGCCCCGAATGATTGTTCATTGCAGGAAGCAGGATTTCCCTCTGGTAAAGGCTGCAGTGCAAGAAGCGAATCCTATGTACAAAATTGCCACCAAAAAAGATGTTGATGTCCAAATTGATCAGGAGGCCTACCTGCCTGAGGAAATAGCTGGTGGAGTTGAGATCTATAATGGGGATTGTAAAATAAAAGTTTCCAATACCCTAGAAAGCCGGCTGGATCTCATAGCCCAGCAGATGTTGCCAGAAGTACGGGGAGCCTTATTTGGTGCAAATGCCAACAGGAAGTTTTTGGACTAAACCTTTGGGCGAGGTGGAGTTCATCCACTGCTCACCTGCTATCATGCGGAAGTTTCTGATATTTGAAGAAACAAGATATCTGTGTGGCTTCCTCTTCGCTCTTCTAATATTCTGCATTTATCAGTGGATCCTCTCTGTAGCTAATGCC